CTGTTCTGACTTTTTTCTAGTTCCCTGTCTAGAACTTGTAATGCTAATTACTCTTGCCTTTACTTCTCCTACACATCTCCTATTCATGGTTCAAGGAATTTCTTTTCGCCTTAGAGATAAGACTTATGCAATTTGGGAGTCTTTTAGATAGACCCACCAAAGGGGTACTCCAATTGTGTTACCCTGCCTCCCTGACCAGCATGGAAGAAGCCAGAGCGGTCTGCGTCCTGATTCCCTATTGGCAATTTGGGTAAGCCCTTCAGGGGATGGCATGATAAGAATAGGAGGTAGGAATTGGCTAGGCAGTTAGAGTAAAAAGACCCCAAAGAAAAGTAACCAGTTTCTTGCCTAAAAGTCAAAACGTCCTTGGGAGTATTAGCAACATACTCTGTTCCAATGGCCAAAAGTGTCAAAAGTATTTGGGAGCTTGTATTTATTTCCCATAAGATTTTAGGGTTACCTCTTCAGAAGGAGAATGTTAGAATACCCAAAAGCCCCATAAAAATACATAAATGAAAGGAGAAAAAAATGAAATAAAATAAAATGAACAGTGGTGAAAAACCCCCTCAAAATCTGTGACTTTTAGCATGTGCATGTCTTTCTCCACAACATCTTCATTGCATCTTTAATGTCCTTGTTCCTCAGACTGTAAATCAAAGGGTTCAACATGGGAATCACCACAATATAGAACATGGAAGCGAATCTCTCAAAGCTGGAGGAAACCCCAGAACTGGAACGTATATAGACAAAAACACCTGAAATATAAAAGAGGGAAACAGCTGTCAGGTGAGAAGCACAGGTGTTGAATGCCTTGGACCTGCCTTTAGTGGATGTGATCTTCACGATGGACAAGATGATATAGAAATAGGATGTCATGATAACCAAGGCATTCATTATTCCAAAGATTGTTGCCAATATTGCAATCAGGACTTCTGCAAAGAAAGCATCAGTGCAGGATAGATGTATGATCTGCGATATGTCACAGAAGAAGTGCCTGATGACATTAGGTCCACAGAAGTGGAGCTTCAGCAAGGCACAAATCTGAGATAAAGTACCTGTGAATCCTGCCATATAGCATCCCATCACCATCCGAAGACAGAGGTTGGGTGACATGATGGATGCGTAGAGCAGTGGGTTACAAATGGCAGCATACCTGTCATAGGCCATGGCCGTCATGAGGCAAGATTCACTCATTGCCAGCATTGTAAAGAAGAAGTCCTGAACTACACAAGCAGCAAAGCTGATAGTTTTCTTTTCCTGGAAGAAACTGACAAGCAGTTTAGGGACTGTGGAGGTGACATAGCAGAGGTCTACGAAGGACAGATTACTGAGGAAGAAGTACATGGGGGTGTGGAGGTGGGAATCCATCCTTATTAAAACAATGAGGCACAAGTTCCCAGTCAGAGTTGTGATGTAGATGAGAAGGAATATGACAAAGAGCAGTGCTGTGATTCTGGGGAAATCTGAGAATCCCAGGAGGATGAATTCGGTGATCTCAGTAACATTTCCTCTTCCCTTCATTGCCGCAGTGTTTCTAACATGAGAAAGAAACCAAGAAACCATGTTGTTGACCCAGTTAAAACTTAGCATTTCCATTTTCATATCATCTCTCGTTTGTTCTAATGAGGCCTGAGAAGAAGTGACTCACTCTCCTTATGTGGGAAAACTGCAGCCTTTCTTCTCCTGTTGTCAATAAGAATCAACTAAGTGTGTTAATTCCTAACTACATCATGGAATTTCATGAGACTGAGAAAAAGATGTTTAAAAATCAAACTACAACACAGAATTCTGTTTTGAGACTAGACTCCACAGAGTCACTAATTCTCTGCATATATAATTCTCTCCATATATTTCACAAAGAAGCCTCTTTACTGAGTGGTGACAGCTGCACTTATTTGTGAACAGAGGGTAAGAACTTAGAATATAGTAAGAAATTGCTTTGGTTTAGGAAAGTGGCCGTAGTGAGTTTTCCTCTGAGGCCAATGCTGCATACACGTAATGACAATAATTAGAGAGGAGGACAAGTAATTCAGAGGGGAATACAAGGAGGAAGAGTTGGAGGGAGGAAAGGGAGGTTAGAAATGAGGTAAATCCCTCTTCTATTCCTTTACCTCTGTATATCCCTGTACTTTTCAGGGTTCCTGGTGTTACATCAGAATTTTTTTACTCACATGTAAAGGATTGATGCTAGAATCCTCAAATGAAACAGAACATACATTGTTTGCTTATCTGCATTTGTGCTATTTCATTTAGTATAACATTATCTAATTCTATCCATTTACCTGCAAATTTTATAATTTCATCTTTTCTTACTGCTGAGTATAACTGTATTGTGTAGATGCGCCACATTTCCATTAATCAGTTTCAGCTGAGGGGCATTTAGGTTGTTTCCATTTCTTAGCTATTGTGAAGAGAACAACAACAAACATGGATGTACAGGTATCTCTACAGTATGATGAGCCCTTTGGGTATATATCAAGGAGTGGTATGTGGCATCATTTTCTGGGGGGAGGGGGCAATCAATAGCTATATAATTGGACTTGAAACCCTCTCAATGGGAGGGAATTCATGGATCGCACTGTAAACTCAACCAAATACACATGACAGGGAGGACCTAGATCCTGGAGCAAACCCTATCTTTTTCATATCTCAAGACAAATGAAAATTCTTACTATGTGCTAAATACTGATCCTTACATTTACAGACAAACATAGCATACAAGACCTGACACAACAAAAAAATCTTTTTGCAACAGATGGAGGCTCCTGCAGAATTGCACATCTGGTCAGACACAGAGAAAACATATCTGAGAGATATACTGCGGGACACATCTACAGTTGAATCTCTATAACCAAGGCTCACATGGAACATAGCAGAATAAGGGATGTAGAGAAAACTGCTGCATCCCCCAACTCTCACCAGTAAAGCTTCTGTATGCAACAGAGTGTGATATACACAGAAGGCCACAACTGGCCAAGTGTTAAAGAATAAGAGACTTTAGAGTATAGGATAGAACTCTTATACAAAATCTAATCTACCCACAGCTCAGACCATTGTGAAAGAGGGTGGAGAAAGAGTGTAAGAGCAAGGGCTGGTTGATGAACACAGGAAGCAGAAGCCCCCAGGCCACTGGAAGCTTGCACATGTGGACTTGTGGCAATGGTGGCATTGAGAAGGGGCCCGTGTCAACTGAGCAGGAGCCTGGGGGCGGGGGGGGGGAGAAATGGATGGCAGGCCTGCACTTGACTGAGAACTATTTGAGACCGATTGCTGCTGGGTAAGGGAGAAATGACTTATATACAATCACTAGATGGGCTGGCTGCACTGCAGTCTATGCATTTGTGCTTAAGGACATTTGAGTACAAATGCCTGAATGAATAGGACTTAAAGTGTATGGCAGAATGCATGAGGTTCAGTGGGGAATGGGGGAGGCATGGATGGTGGAGAGCGTCTGAATTTGATTAGGAACTGTTGTATGAAGTTGCACATGCTCAATAAAACAAAAAATAAAAAAGAAATGAGGTAAATGTAATACTGGTCTGTGAAATTCTCTAAAAACTTCTAAAATGCAAAAATTATCAAAAAAATCTGAGAGTTTCTTAAATTAATCCAACAAAATGATGTGATGAGTACATGAAAATGATCAATTATTGAAATTAATGACTTTTCCATACCAATTCTGATAATGTGGCTTGGAGAAAACTCTGTGTAGAGGACTGATGAATAAGCACCAGGATCTGAATGTGACCCCAGCTTCCACATTAAACTTGGACTTGGTGAGAGTTGAGAGATGCATTAATATTTTCTTTACCCAATGTTGTCCTAGATTCCATGAACTGTTGATGTAGAGGTTTCATAGAAGATGCATCATTTTGGGCTGGGCATCTCTCAAACACTTGTTCTCTGTGTTTTATCAGCTGTGAAACTCAATTTTAGTGTCTGTCTAATGCAAAAAAGAACTTATTTGATATTTCAATTCTCACCTTCAAAGCTTCCTCATGCAACAGAGGGTGATTGAAACAGAAAGCCACAACTGGACAAAATGTAGAGAATAAGAGATTGCAGATCTGGGTAGGACTCCTATATTAAACCTCAGCCACCCAGAACTCAGGGACCATTGTGGAAGATGGGTTGGAAAGACTATAAGAGGCAGAGGTGTTGGACTACCATAAGAAAACAGATTGTCCAGGTGGCTGGGAAATTGTCCATATGAATTTACAACAATGGTGACAGCATGCATAAGACCCATACAAACTCAAACTAGTCAAAAACCCAACTGGAGAAGTGGGTAAGAAGCCCAAACTTTGTGCAAGGACATATTGGCAGCTGATCATTGCTGGGTGAAAAGAGTTGGTCTTATTTATGGGAATGAGATTGGATAGGCTGACATGGTCCAATGAATGGGCTTATACCAAAGGACATCAGGGGATACAATCTTGACTTGATAGGCTTTAACATATATGATAGAATGCATGAAATCTGGTAGAAGATTATAGTGTAGATGAAGATAAGGGATGGTATCTAAATATTATTGTGATGTATTATATAAAATGCACAAAAATCCATAAAAGATAAAAATATAGTAAAAAAGAAAAAATAGAACTTAGTAGTTCACACTTGTAGTCCAAGTCCTGAGACAGAGGAACCTTAGGGCTCATTGACCAGCCACCCTAGCTTAATAAGAGAACCTCAGGGTCACAGTGAGAGACCTGTCTCAAAAAACTTTGGGGATGGCTCCTGAGAAATAATATCCCAAACGCTCCTGTATCCTCCACCTGCATATCCATACATACACTAATACACACATAGCCACTTTCCATTCCTCTCACATATACTCCAAGAAATAAAGCCAAAAGGACTCCTGACAGTCCTTAAAGAGCTGCCACTTTATAGTTATGAAAGTATGCATGATGTCTCTTTGAAGATATATTTGAATATTTTCCCTCATGGATTATCTTAGTGGATATTTAAATCATAGCCATTAACCTTTTAAAAAGGTTGTTTATATTATTCAAACTAGTTTTTCAGACTCTTTGTATTTACTGTCTCCAAACTGGAACATAATATTTACAATTCTGAAATGCTTTGGTGGAGCAGGAGCATGTGTGCCCAATCTTCCTTGGGCAACCTTCACAGGAAGTTCTCCAAAGGAGGTGAACACAGATCACTATAGTCCCTAAAGATTTTTCTCAATGCTACAATGTTTTGTTTCCTGGTAAACATCATGGGCACGTGCTGAAGAGTTCACACTTTAGAGTGCTGCTAATGTCCATGTATTCTATTAAATTATCAAAAGTGGCTGAATGTACTTCATCTACTCATTATCATGTGAGAACAAGAAAAGGCGACAAAACACAGATTATAAGAAATGGATGCGACACAACCAGATCACAGTTACCATTCAGCAGATGTTGGTTACCATTGCTGATCACAGAGAGCAATCAGGAATGATGGCTGTATCTACGAATAGAAACGCCAGGGATGTTAGATGTTTCTTCCCTTTGAGACACATTACTGAAATCTCTCTCATCAGCACTGTAGACAGGCATCATTTCCTCTGTGTAGGTGTCTATGGAGAACCTCTGTTCATGAAGGTCAGAGTCCCCAGGGCCATGTGATATGTGCTTCCTCAATCAACTTCTATTTAATTTGCTTGACAATTGAATACACAAGATCAAGAGACAGCCTGCATCATACCATCACTGGCCATGATGTAGATAAAAGATCAGCTAAGTGTTAGACCTCCAAAATTTTATAGAGGTATAATTTTTTGTATGTCAATAATTTAGGATTCCCTAACATTTTCATCAGAAATTGCACCTATTACCTATGCTCCATTCCAAGACAGTCCTTCCATGAGATGAAAGAGATTATCCATGATGAAAGGCAAAAGATAATTATAAGATAAACAAAGTATTTTCACTTTCAATTACTACAAAGCACTATGAAGGTTGATAATTCATTATTCTCAGAATAACAGACAAAATCAAACAAATCCTGGAAATAATGTTATGTATTGTGATGAATTTGCCATGTGATATGTTACATCAATATCAAAAGAATCAACATTTTTATAAATGATATGGAAGACCTTACTGCAGAGAAAATCTTGTTGTAAGATGAAACATATATGGATGTATATAATGTTGAAGTACAAAATACATTTCAGACACATTAAAAAATGTGATTTCACTGGAATGAAATGGGTTAAAAAGAACCATCAGTTATTCTTTAAAAGGGCAATATAGTTATTATTGTTATAAAATACGTGCAAATAAACCACTGGAAAGTGCACAGAATGGTGTTACTTTTATAGATGAAAAACTTGTTTTATAGAATTTCATTTTTTATCCTATCCTTTCTTACACACACACACACACACACACACACACACACACACACACAAACATACACAAATGCATATAACATATGAGTCATTCAAAATAGCAGATATTAAATGAAATAGATAATTCAGGGCATGTTGCACTCCCCTTTACAACCATCATGTGCATTATACTGAC